TTTGCTCTTTGTCTCCGTAACGGCTGGACCTGCCTTTGTCAAAAACTAATCAGCACATCTCCCTATCAATAGGAATCGAATGTTTTTTGAACCATTCAAATCGGTTGATCGCTGCGCCCGAAAACGAAAAAGCGAAAAATTGTATCCATACATACATACACACACATCCATTTTTTCTAAGGTATGCCAAAATGTTCAGAAACTTTCAAAACGTCGAGAAATGTAAAAATTTTCAATTCCGATTTTCGGCCCGTTACAATAACTTACCCTACGGGAAGTTAATAACATAAAACTTAGCATTTTATGTTACTAACTATATATGGTAATTTTGTATATATTTTAATTGTTATTCATTATGTCAAATAATTGTATTTTTGAGTCCTCTTGGAGAAATCTGTGGGCTATAGATTTAAATAAATAAATAAATAAATAAAACAAAACATTTTGTTCTCTCCATTCTAGATTTTAATTCGGCATGGTCTATAAAATAAACTAGTGGGGCGCATGGCATCGTGCTTTAAGGCAAATTGCTGGAACTTCCCGTACCGTAGCGAAATGTTCGAGGAATATTAAATGTTTTCAAACAGATTATTATAAATTCTGTAATATCGTTAAATATTTATAAGAATTACATAAACTCAATTGCAAAGTTGAAATTATTTGTTTAAAGTATATTAGAACTTTAGTCAGAATTAAAAATAAAATCTGAATTATTTTCGATGAACCAAAAATTTTTTTTTCCAAAATTAATTATTTTGTTAAAACAACCAGAAAGTTCTTTGAATCATTCAAATCGGACGCTTAGTTCTTTTAAAAACTGACATTTATTGCGCATTTAGCTCTATATCTTCGAAATGGCTGGGCCTGGCTTTGCCAGAAACTAATAATCACTTCTCTCAATCATTACTAATTGAATATTTTTTAGATCATTCAAATCGACAGCTTCGTTCTCTCAAAAACTCGATTTCTATTTTCTGCACTCTTTGCTCTTTATCTCCGTAACTGCTGGACCTGCCTTTGCCAAAAACTAATCAGCACATCTCCCTATCAATAGAAATCAAATGTTTTTTGAACCATTCAAATCGGTTGATCCGTGCGCCCAAAAACGTAAACGAGAAAATGCGGACACACAAAACACACATACACACACATACACATCCATTTTGCCAAAATAACACATGCCAAAATGTTCAGAAACGAGTGAGGTATGCCAAAATGTTCAGAAACCTTCAAAACGTCGAGAAATGCAAAAATTTTTATTTTCGATTTTCGGCCCATTGCTATAACTACCCTACGGGAAGTTAATTAAGAGATTATCAACTTCCCGTAGGGTAAGTTATTGTAATGGGCCGAAAATCGGAATTGAAAATTTTTACATTTCTCGACGTTTTGAAGGTTTCTGAACATTTTGGCATACTTCAGAAAAAATGGATGTGTGTGTGTGTGTGTATGTATGTATGGATACAATTTTTCGTCCACGTTTTCGGGCGTACGGATCAACCGATTTGGATGGTTCAAAAAACATTTTATTCCTATTGATAAGGAGATGTACTGATTAGTTTTTGGCAAAGGCAGGTCCAGCAGTTACGGAGATAAAGAGCAAAGAGTGCAGAAATTAGAAATCGAATTTTTGAGGGAACGGAGCATCCAATTTGAATGATATAAAAAACATTCAATTAGAAATGATTGGGAGAAGTGTTTACTTGTTTTTGGCAAAGGCAGGCCTAGCCATTTTGAAGATACGGAGCTAAATATGTAAAAAATGGCAGTTTTTGAGAGAACTAAGCGTCCGATTCAATTGATTCAAAGAACTTTCTGCTTGTCTTAACAAAATAATTGATTTTTTTTTAAAAAATTTTGTTTCAATTTTTTTTTCTTTTTTTTTTTTTTTAATTCTTGGTATATCGAAAATAATTCAGATTTTATTTTTAATTCTGACTATAGTTCTAATATACTCTAAACAAATAATTTCAACTTTGCAATTCAGTTTATATAATTCTTATGAATATTAGACAATGTTACAATATTAATAATAATCTATTTGAAAACATTCAGTATTCCTCGAACATTTCGTTACGGTACGGGAAGTTCCAGCAATTTGCCTTAAGGCACGATGCCACCCACCCAACTAGTTTCATGTTTAAAATTATTATAAATAGAAAGAGAATATAGAAAAAAAATGTAAAAACTAGTGCCCTTTAAGTGCTCTATCAAAAAGGGTCAACGTTGCTTCCGTGGTATTGTAGGGAAAGTCACCTACTGGGTTTTACGTGGAACATCATCACGTCAAATCAATCCCGATATTTCTCTTCTTTACACGCGAGAGATACATATCAGTACATGTGACAAGACTGCCTGACCACCAAAGGCGTCATTGTTAACGTACTTTCCCAGGAAGCTCCAGACCCTCTGTAAAGGTTTAAATCGGATCGGTATATATACTCAAAATACGAGCAGTATTGCGCGGCGAGAGTTATGGATGGACAAACTAGTGATGCATGGCTCCAGTCCAATTGCTGGAATTAACTGGAACTTTCCGTACCGTTACATAAGTTTTCTATCATTTTTTTTTAAATGCCTTAACGCAAATTGCTGAAATTTTCCGTACCAAGAGTTGGAATTTAAAAATAACATTAAATTTTTGAAAAAATAGATTTTTAAAAATTTTAAAATTTTGACTTTTTTGTGAACTTTGAAAAAGTGAACAGTTTTGTAGTTTATTCAATTATTTACCATATTCTTAAATAAACTCTTCGAGACAATAAAAATGATTTTGATATTTTTTTATCTAAATTTTACTTTCATTAGATAAATGTTATTCAACCTTTAATTT